ACCAATGTCAGGGAATGAATGGGTGTATGCATACATGTCAGATGTCCAGTTGTATTTCATGTTGTATTGTATTTTCTTTTATTTTTGTTATAAATTTGTGCTTTCCTGCTCTGAAGTGATTAAAATGTCATTGAGTGGATTTGGGTTGGGTGGGAAGGGGGTTTGGTTGTTGGAATCTTGATTGAACCTTGTGCTGAATGCTGAAAAGCGGCAAATAAAGTGTTCTGTTCATTCATTCATTCATATTTTGTTTTGATGTATGTGTATGACATTTCTTGCATTGTGCTTGAAGCTCATGTGCAGAGGGGAACTACGTATCAAGATATTATACTCAATACCATTGAACTCGGAGTAAATATTCTTCTCTTTCCACGACGATTTTGCCTCCGTAGTCGGAATTCAGCCCTGGGAAACTTTCGAAATACCCCGTCAGTCGGAATGCGTTGTTTAATTCATGTTTCTGCAAGGTACGAAGCAACAACGCGAACCGGAATCGCAGTGATTAATTTGCACCGCTTCAGAGGATGCAGCTCTCCTTTCAATGAATCCCATACACAAGGGGGTTCCCGTATCCGCGCGACGACGTATCATCATTTGGCGGCGGGGTTCCATCACTCATCTGCGTATGTATTTTCATGAATCACGCTTAGGTAAAGGGTTTCCCATTGAAAAAAAAAGGTAATGGGGGTGTTATTTTTTGAATGTTGCAAGTGGAGAATACCGTCAGAAATCGGCTTACTGTATTTACAAGAAGTGAGACGCGTATATAATGGGGGACTTTTGCGGTAGTCTAAGGCAGTGTTCCTCAACTTTTTTGTGTCTGTGGACCAGCAAATTGAAAAAAAAAATTTTTTTCTCGGACCAGTAAATTCCCAAAAAATTGTATGCGGACCAGCAAAGTTTCATAAAATTTTTGCAGACTGAAAGTTTCGTTTAGATGTCATTATCACCGTAGTCCAAGGAAGTGTTCCCCAACCTTTTTGGGTCCGCGGACCAGCAAATAAACATTTTTGCAGACCGGTAAATTCCCAAAAAAAATTCTGCGGACTTGCAAAGTTTCACGGAATTTTTTCAGACTCACATAAAATTTGCTTGAATGTCATGCTCGAGGAAGGTATTTACAAGAAAAATTCAGTTGAGAATGTCATCACACAATTAAGAAGGTGGGCTTGGAGAAAGGTTTCTCGGGAGGAAAAATTAAAATAATTTATTTAAAAATAATTTATTTCAGCAAGTAAATTTTTCTGAAGTTTTATCAGGAGAAAAGCCAACTTTGGTTTTCATCAGATAATTCAACTGCCATATTGTCCTTCCAAAACTTTAGGTTATAAGAGAACAGACTTCACTCTGACTTTTGATAAATTTATTATGCTGAAAATTTTACGCGGACTGGCTTGGACGCACAGTTTGGATATGAAAATTTAATGCAATTCTTACAAGAACCAAGTATACTCCACACAACAATCAACACAATGTTCTCAAACTTGAGCATGAATCAGAGATCAAACTTCTCTCAAAGATAATGCAAATTTCATTGATGATTTTTGTTGTTTCTAAAATTCTAAAAAAATTCATATTTGTAGGTTCAACACTTCTCAGGTATACTAATTTTGTTCTTGAATCACCTCCAACAATTTTTGTAATTTTTGTCAGTATTCGAGGCTAAGTAGCATGTTTTATTATTTCCATCAAACACCGCTCCTTTTCTGTCAAAATCATGAACAGCTGCTTTTTGTTGTTGACAATTCTGAAAGTACTCTGATTGATCATTTGTCTCTTTCTCAATAAAAGAAAAACTTCGAAAAAAAAATTGAAGATGACAAGGATAAATGATTTTGAGGAAGGGCCCGGTTATTTTTTCTTTTTTCAATTCATACTTGGCAAATGATGCTGTGTGTATACTCGTATCAGCTGAAGAGACTGTACATTCGCCGGTCGTGCGTGCTACCGCGCAATCGTATGTGTGCAGAGAACAGCGAAGCGGTCGCAAATATTTGCGGGATTTCTTTGCCACACCGGACGACCGGAGAGTCTCCAGAACGCGGATGTAATTTCGGGAATGGGTTGGCTGGGGCGTTCGCAAAATTCAGCCAGTTTTGCGAAACGGCATTTTTTCACTGGAACCTTTTCTCATACATTAAAATCTCGTGATAGCGAAGCCGTTCGGACTAATAAAATAGCTTCGTCGGAAAAAAATTCTTAAATTCTTTATAAAGGAACTCAACGCCGCAGCTATTGGGCAGGGGCCTGATAACGATTTCCTCGTAATCGACTATTCATTCAAACGAGATTATTTTTAACGCAATTCTATTGTATGTCGAATCGTGTGCACTATGCTGGAGAAAGTCAATGATCGCTCATCATTTCGCATGAAAAAAAAATTGTAAGCAATGCACTGAGCTTTTCCCACTTGTTATACGTGAAAAACGAAAAATTGACAATATTGTATTAAAAAAAGTAACTTGAAGCGTACATATTCTAAAACTTTTTCAGCTTCTTCAATAGAACGTTCTCAATTGGTCCTACGCGGTCACTTCAGAAAAATAAAGAGGATCAATAATAAGAAAATGATCAAGCACACGGTTTTATCCTCGGGAAAGCAAGGTTTTGAATGGAATTGTTTTAAATTTGCTGTGGTTTGTTTCAAAAGTGTTTCTATGAATGTCAATAATTTGGTCCAGAATGAAGAATGTACAAATGATCGATGAGTTGTTTTTCTGCTTACTGCATGATCACCACTCAGAATTATTTTTCGTGGAAGGTTGGTTCAATAATCATTGTATATGTTCCGCAGCACGGAAGATATTGAACTCCTATAATTTGTGATACGAATGAGCCAAAAATAACGTTGGTAAAAGAAAAACAGAACATGGTGTTCGCATGCTAGTAATATACAGTAAATCGATCAACATACGCATGAGAGGGATATGAAGATATGTTATTTGTGTCCTTTCATTCTTTCCCTCTAGATTCAATTACAGTACAGGACCTGGCGAAAGCATCGTACTTCCGAAATGATTGAAAATTCATGAATGTTTTTGCAGACCCATAAAAACGAGAAACACCGTAATTCAACATTTTGTCCGTCATCTTCTGAATTCAGTTAGTTCACAGACTTTAAAATTCCGAATTCCAGAAAAATCTTGAGTATCACGGATTTAAATGTCTGACTATATTAAAAAAAGTACATGACTGACGTCGGTTCGCTTGAGAACATAGGTTTATAATTTTTTATTTAACATACAGATATAAATGTACCGTGGATTTTCAATAATTTCCTTTAAAAAATGTTGTTCTATTTCTGGTATACTGATGTGATTCAGGTGTTCAGTACAGCACTTTTATTTCGATAAATCATTATCAGGGTATTATAAGGGCTGATGTAGCAACGGTATTTAATCTCACATTTATTTGCTTGCGTCTTCCCAACCTGTCATTTGCTTGTTCAGAAAAGACTTGGTTGGATAATTAACCACAATAATTATATATCGCCGACGGTTTTGTAAAGGGAGTCAATGATTGTCAATCACCTCGAGGGATAAACCAAATCTTTTTCAGCAGTAAACTATGTTTTCCTATGTCCGTGAAATAAAAAACCTCGACGACATTTTATCGATCACATAATCAGAAAAACAATTCAAATGATCATCATCATTCATCACGACTCGGAGGTTTTCAATCGGTTCTACTCGTTAGTTACCAAAAAATAAGAACTTATCGAAAAATCAGAAGCAAAAGCGGATCCAACCGTAATTTTCACGCAAAGGTGAGTCATAATATGCTCAAAAAGCGTAGCCTCATAATAAATGGCACTTCATTTCATGTCTGTAACTCAATTTACTGACTTGGTGAATTGAAATTCTCAGGGGACCCGCCAGAAATATTTTAGCTTTCAAAAATTTGTTTCTCGATGAGTCAATAAGGCTCAAACCTGGCTTACGTCAAACCTACCCTTCCTACACAATACTTTTGAAAGCAAGTCTACGAAATTATTTAGTTTTGAAGCTTGCAAATAAAACCCAACTTCTTTATCCACGCTTGGAAAATGAAATTGTATATATATATATATACCGTATACATATATATAATTTTATTTATTTATTTATTTATTTTTCTCTCTTAAGATACAAGAAAAGTGCGAGAACAACAGATAAGTTTCAGCTTGAACTCGTCATTACCCAGCCGGAAAACTTTTTGACGGAACTTTGCAGCGATTGACTGACTGTCAGCTGTTGGGTCATATGAAATACGGAAAAGGAAATGCGCGGATGTTGAAGAGGCTCTTGTGACGAATATATTCCTGGTGTCCCAAGGAGTGCTTCAAGAGGAATTCATACACGAATCGCTTTCAAGAGGGATTAGAGGTTTATCCCGAAGATATGATTCGATCTTCTCACTGGATCGGCGGGGATTTTTCTATACAGTATATTGAACCCAGAGTTGGGATATTTTTTATTTTCAAAGACTGATGAAGTGAATCCGGGAAACGAAACGGATTCTAACTACTGTATGGGAAGGTTAGCGGGTAAATAAGTCTGGCCTTTAACAACTGCTAATATTTGCATCAAGTTTGAGAGTTCTTTTGAAAATCAAGAAAAACATCCTGATTTGTCCGAGACTTGAAAATTGGACTTCAAAGCCTTGCAAAATCCAAGACTTGCGTCATGGAAATGAATTTTTGAAATCCTTTCACGACGAAAAGCTTGAAGAGAGACGAGTTTCATGTAATAAGTAGGATGCCTCAAACGAATAAAGAATTAAAAAAATTCTAAAAACTTTTAGAGTAAATTACGCAACAAGACAATTTCGCACATGGAAAAATTAACGCTGACTGCTACAGTAAGTAATGCGACCATGAGAATTCCTTTACATCGGTATCATTTCCATGACGCAAGTCTTGAATTTTGCAAGGCTTTGGAGTCCAATTTTCAAGTCTCGGACAAATCAGGATTTTTTTCTTGATTTTCAAAAGAACTCTTAAATTTTAAAAGGATGCCGTTTGAAAAATATCTCTTCAACTGTTGCCTTATTTTGCACTTCTCACCCCAACCTCCTAAATTTTGGGAATGTGTGCCCCCATGAAGGCAGCATGAAGTTTGCCAGTTGGATTACTGGTCCTGCTCCACATTCATCCCTAAAAACAGGTCTGTAAAACAACAGTTGAGTGGAAGGACTTGCCTGACAACGTTTTTTTTATAGTTTACTTTCAAATGGTTCTTGTTACCATGCTGTGGTACTCGGGACATGAAACTACTGTATTTACTGGAGTACCACTTGCCCTTGAGTAAGGCATGCACAGGGGTTTTTCAGTAGGAAATTTGGCTAAAATCTTATACCCAAGTAAGACGCGCACCCCAATTTTTAGTGAATCTAAAACCACAAAATTTCAAAGATAAATTCAAAAAATTTGACTTTTAGACATGAATTGAAAAAAAATTGGATCAATTTTCAACTTTTTCAGTACAAAAAAGTTTTCGTGTAACATTTGTTTGAAATTTCTCCTTCATAATTGAGTATAATGCACACAGAACTTCCTAAAACTTATTGAAAAATTTGTACTGCTTATGACGCTCACCCCTTTTTTTTCTTCTGGAATTTGAGAAAAAAGGTGCGCATGGTACTTGAGTAAATAAGGTACATTTCATTTGAAAGGGAATTAAATAAGCTCTCATACGGTGGTTTTTCATTGCCACAGCTCAATTTGCCACCATAAGCTATTTCAAGTGAAAATTTGGTTCACTTTCTCCTGGCCCACCCTGTATGTGTACATGTGTGTGTTTCTGTGTGTGTGCAGCGCGTTTCTTGCCCAGGGCAAGGTTCAAGAGAACTTTGTAACTCATAAAGCGTCAGAACCGGAAGCAGCAATGGAAGGCAATTTTTCCTCATCCCAGGCAGCAGCTACATCTACACCAAAGCAATTGACATTAAATATTGAAAGCCTTTGTCTTACCGTCCTGCTTGCCTGAAAATTTTTGGCCACTTCTTGGAATGATGGAATCTGAAGGAAATGGCAGTTATGTGTCTTGCCAATTTTTGTTTACATTTGATCTGCTTTTCCTTCCCTTAATTTACTTTATACCCAACCAGGAGAGGTACTGATTCCTATATGAGTGGTAAATAATGATCACAAACTGGCTTTTACTGTGCAATTCGACCCTAATCTGCTGCTGAACTAGGGTCAAATTGCAAAGCAACATAAAATGCAATGTTTTCTACACTGCATTTGACATTTTTGTCCATCTCTTTGGGTCAAATTGCAGGGGCTACATTGAATTGCAAGTCAACCTCCCAGAAAATGCAACCATCAAATTGAGGGATGGTTGAATTGCGCAAGGTCAAATTGCAAGGTACCACCTTTACGTCTAATTTATCTGTTTTCCATTCTGATGTGATGGAATGTTATAGGATGAATGTGGGTGGGGAGGGGAGTTGGTTTAAATGCCAGAACATTGCTTGAACCCTATGAATGTTGAAAGGTGGAAAGTAAAGATTGCTGTTCAATTCAATTCATTGGTTAATTGGTCAACTACCTTCATGAGCAAGTAATTGAAATTTCTTTTCATACTAGGGCATTTCTTCTCTGCATACAGAAGATGTAATTGCAACCACAGCACAATACAATAAAAATCCATCAAAATAGAATTGCATGCATGATGCTTACTTGAATATGATTTTTACTTCACATTGTTGTTGGTTCAATTGTTCAGGAGAGATCACAATAGACTAATAGTTAGCTTGTTTTTTGTCTACTCCTCAAATAAAAAGTTTTCTCTGCCTAAAATATCTGGAAAAATTGGAAGTCTTGAAAGACAAGTTAGGAAAAAAGAATTTATTTTGTTAAAAGGGGAAATTATTGCTGCGAAAATTCCCCAAAAACTTTCCAGCGCCTGAAAGCAGCGATTTTTTCCCCATAGAAACCCCAACACATTTTTCTCCTTCCAAATCCAGAGCTTTAAATGTTTGCGCATTCAAGAGACATCGGATTCAAAAGGCGTCACGTGTGTTTGTTGCGTGCTCACTCGACAATAAATCAAATAGGATGTCGCACTTGGATCTCTGAAATATCTGCTGCCTTTCATAGAGACCGGGTTCAAAGCGAATAAATGGTCTCGAAGCACGGAATTTTCGAATAAGATCCGATGTATCGACTCTAGACCCTTCTCTATAAAGCTGAATGAGAAAGGATCTTGTATGTGCTCATTAGGGGTGGAATTGCTTTTCTGAACCAGTATGTTTATTGTAAATAATAAATAGAACAATTCGTTTTCCATCGGAGCATTTTGATTTACCGCGGAGCGGCAGAAACAGCCCACATACAATTTCTTTCGAAACATCTTCAGGGCTTCAACGAAAATATATTTTTTTCCGAGATTTCATCAACCTTCCGCAAATTGATTTTTCGGCAGAATTTTGGAGCAAAGAATACGGGATAAACGCAAGCTTGAAGTAAATGATGATTTATATATATATGTGCTTGATCTTGATAACAAATATTAAGTACATCTGGAAAACTCTTCAAAAATAAGTTGACAAAATTCGAAAGGGAGAAAAATCACCCCGCGAGAAAAGCTCATGGATATTTCCCACAAAAATGACCAAATATATCCTGATGGTTTTTCTCATGTTCTGCCAACTTAATGTGTTTTCCTACACCTAGTTTCAAGTATAGGCCACGCATTCCTGTCAACTGTGGCCTATTCTCGAAAATTATGAGCACAGAATAGGTCGCGTTTGCCGTTTCGGGGATAAATTAGGGAATTTATATCGCGTAAATAAGAATCTTGGCTGGAAAAACAACTCACCATTTGCAAGACACATGACGCTGGAATCTCCATGTAATATGTAGCCCAGTGGACACGAAAAATTTGCCACTGCTGTCATCTTGTCGTCCTCTTGATGAATTTCGAGTTGCGGGTCCAATGGATTCAAAGCTCCGCAATGTACAGCTAAATCCAAAAAAAAAATGAGTTGGAAAATATTTACGGAAATTTCTTACAAATTCAAACACACTCGCGCGGGAACCGGGCCTCAAGCTTCGAATACAATATTTTAGGCTTACTTTTTTAAATAAACAAAAACGTGCATTGGAAATTCATTTCGTTGGGGTCATAATTTTCCGATCTGTTGACCCTGTCAGAGATTCTTAGATCTTGACGAGCAATTAAGCACAGAAAAAATTTAAAACGAGACTAAGTCTCCACAAACAAGTGTAATTTTCACAAGTTTATTTGATACAAAGGTTTTCACTTTCAGATTCCAACCAAAGCGTACTGAACGAGGCCTTGCAGAGAAGTGAAGTGTCTTCGGTGTTTCTCTGCTTGGATGTTCGGCAGAGAACAAGTTTCTGAAGTTTCCGGTTTTTGTGGTTGGTTGGTTTTTGAAGGTTCGATTTTGGTGTGCGTGGCGTGTCGTGTTATTGTTTCGTTCTTTTGGGCGACCTCTGTTGGTCACTAATAGACCCAAGGCTTGCTTGTCAACTCGGAAAAATTTGAAAGATTCCATGTCCATTTCAACGGAAAATTAAACCTCCTCAACATTGTACGCCTTAAATAATGAGTAATTTGTATGAATGGCATCTATAAGTATGATCCAGTCGTTCGTCGTAACAAATTATGTTTGTTGCTTCCGAGGTCTACTTGCTGGTGATTCAGGTCAGTGTTCCCCAACCTTTTTTTGCACGCGGACCAACAAATTTCCATAAAACTTTTGGCAGACCAGCAAATTCCCAAAACATTTTTGCGGACCATAAAAGTTTCAAAAAATTTTTGCAGACTCACAGAAAAGATTTTATGGCAGGAATTTAAGATTTTCTGCTTCTTTGCAAAAATTGAATTAAAGCACCTGTGAAGCAGCTATAGCAGAGTGCCATAAAAAAAATAAGAAAGTTGGGCTTGGAGAAAGGTTTCTCAGAATGAAAAATTAAAAAAAGTAGTTCATCCAGTGAAAAATTTGTCTGGAGTGTCTTGAGGAGAAAAGCCAACTTTTATTTTTTGTCATATAATTGCATTTGTCAGTATCCTTCTGAAATTTTAGGTGAAAATAACAGATTTCATCCCTACTTTTGATCCATGTATCATGCTGAAAATTTCCCACAGACTGGCAAAAAACTTCAGCAGAAGAGGTGGTCCCTGGATCATGGGTTGGGGAACACTGAATTAGGTGTAAATACTCTCATTATACAACAATCTTGTCATCAAAGATTTTTTGATACAACGAGTTTTTTGGTTCCACATAGTTCTCTTCATTGTTATTGCGGTTCTCCACAACAAAGTGTAAGAGAAACATTTTTTTTAGAGAGAATTCCCGGGAACAAAAAAAATACTATTTCTTGAGAGACTTTTGTTGCAGAAAACATCTATAACATGGGGGAGAACCCTCTGGGACTAAATCATTTTTATACAGAGAAAATCCTTCAGGCAAGGTATAGAAATACAGTGGCCCCCCACCTAACAGACCTCCCGTGTAAGGAATTTTTGCCGAATGATAGTTGATTTTCTCGAGAGACGTCAGGGTTGGGGGGTTATTTGACCCGACGTTTTTCATAGTCCCAAGGATGGGCTGATGTGTTTTACTGACTCCTTAAATTGTTTTATTTTATGACCCTGTCAGGGGGAAGCTTTTGCAGCTGCAGGCGCGTCCCGAGACGCGCCAAGTATTACTTAATTTTAAAAATATTTCGTCAGTTTTTAGTTGTTCCTGTCTTCAATAGAAAAATTCCGCACATACGCCTTAAATAATGAGTAATTTGTATGAATGGCATCTAATTATGATCCAGTCGTTCGTCGTAACAAATTAAGTTTGTTGCTTCCAAAGTCTTCTTGCTGGTGATTCAGGTCAGTGTTCCCCAACCTTTTTTGGCACGCGGACCAACAAATTTCCATAAAACTTTTGGCAGACCAGCAAATTCCCAAAACATTTTTGCAGACCATCAAGGTTTCATAAAATTTTTGCAGACTCACAGAAAATATTGTATGGCAGGAATTAAAAAGTTTCTGCTTCTTTGCAAAAATTGAATTAAAGCACCTGTGAAGCAGCTATAGCAGAGTGCCATAAAAAAAATAAGAAAGTTGGGCTTGCGGAAAGGTTTCTCAGAATGAAAAATAAAAAAAAAAATTTCATCCGGTGAAAATTTGTCTGGAGTGCCTTCAGGAGAAAAGCCAACTTTTATTTTTGTCTCAGTATCCTTCCGAAATTTTAGGTAAAAATAACAGATTTCATCCCCACTTTTGATCAATGTATCATGCTGAAAATTTCCCACAGACTGGCATAAAACTTCAGCAGACCAGAGGTGGTCCCTTGACCATGGGTTGGGGAACACTGAATTAGGTGTACATACTCTCATTATACAACAATCTTGTCATCAAAGATTTTTTGATACAACGATTTCTATGGTTCCACATAGTTCTCTTCCATGTTATTACGGTTCTCCACAACAAAATGTAAGAGAAATATTTTTTTAGAGAGAATTCCCGGGAACAGAAAAATACTAGTTCTTGAGAGACTTTTGTTGCAGAAAACAGCTATAACATGAGGGGGGGGGGGGGGGGGAACCCTCTGGGACCAAATCATTTTTATACAGAGAAAATCCTTCAGGCGAGGTATAGAAATACTCCTAAAACAAAATTTTCTGGCCCTTTGAATTTCATTATACAGTCGAATTTTAATTTTTTTGGGACCAGAAAAATTCATCTTAGGGAGGCTTTGAGTTAGGGAAAATAAGCATTCATGTGGGGGAAGAGATAATAATTACAGAAAATTGAAATTGTCAATTTTCTTGACCTTAAATTTATTTTCAAATGAGTTGACAGGATGCTGAACTTGGAGGCAAGGGTTCATTTGCAAAAATTTATTTTTCACTTACTTTCAAAACACGTACTGGTATCAATAAAATAATAGCCAAAAAGGCTGCAGAAAATTTGAGTCACGGAGGTTTTATAGGGGGAAAGCCTTTGAGTTATAGGGAGGTTTTCAATGCATTGTTTCTAAGGGAATTCAGATGAGAGGGATTTGACAAAAAAAGGAAATATAGAGAGACACAGGTGGACTCTCCACAACCATCTCATCTACAACAACTTTCTCTGTATAAAAACCTATTATTTGATCCCATAAGGTTCTCTCCCCATTTCTAGCGGTTCTCCACGTTTATTACGAATCTTGCTGGTCCCTTGAATTTTGTTGTTGAGAGAGCCCACCTGTATTAGACTTCCAGGAGGGGATTTTCCATTGAAATGGACATGGAATCTTTCAACTTTTTTCCGAGTTGACAAGCAAGTCTTGGGTCTATCAGGGACCCCTAGAGGTGGCCCAAAAGAACAAAACAACACAACACGCCACCCACACCAAAATCGAACCTTCAAAACCAACCAACCACAAAATTTCGAGTTATCCAAGTTCACCTGTATTCAGAGTTCACCTGTACAGCACAATATATTCAGATTTTCAATCAACCCTCTCATCACGGATACCAGGACCCACCATATAGCACCAAGTGCGATGGATACCAGGCAGTTGATTCCAGATTCCCAGCGTTAAAAATAGATGGTCGACGAGGGAACAATAACGAGAGCCAAGGATGCTACTCACGAGCGATGTTGACTTCGATGGAGTTGCTATAGCCCTCGGGCGTCGTGCAGATGAAAACGCCGGAGTCTTCTTCCTTGGGGTAGAAGAAAGATAGTCGATATTTCCAGTGTCGCTCTCGCGGCGACATGGCCCATCCTGTCGCACAAATTAAAAACAACGACTCCATCGTGAGCAAGGCTCGAGACACAGACAGCAGAGAGAGAGAGAGAGAGAGAAACCCAGGCTTTACTTCTTTGTCTTCTTTTCCAAACGGGATAAGTGGGGGAAATAATTCTTAAAAGGGAAAATAAAAGCCGCCGCCGGAGCTGGAGGAAAGAATAATAAGGTAGATAACTTTTCTTCTTTTTTTTCCCCTCCTGGCCCGGAAGCACAGTATATATATATATATATAGAAGTGAAGGAAACGAACAGCTTGAAGGGAGCTGTTAACGATATAGACTGGCGTCTTCCCGATTTTTATGTCGCTGGGCATGGAAGCCAACTGCCTCTTTACTTCCTTCCAGTCTCAGCAGGAAGTCAAGCTTCCTTATGCCTCAGGAAGTCGAATTTCAAGGGTTCAGCACAAAAAAAATAAAGAGAAAAAAATGGAGTCTAGGAGGGTTAGAGTTTGGGAAACAAGCATTTCTGTTGTGGGAAGCATCAAACAATTGCACAAAATTGTAAATGGTGATAATCTGTGCCTTTATTTGCTTCTTAAATGATGGAGTTGACAGGATGTTGCAATTGAAGGCAGGGGTTCATTTGCCCAATAAGTCTTTAATTCTTTTCAAAACAGGCAAGTCCACTTTTCTTTTTCCTGTGTCAAGAAAATAAATAGCCAAAATGCCTCAGAAAATTTGAGTTGAGGCAGTTTGAGAGGGAAAGCCTCTGGATTAAAGATATTTTTGATGCATTGTTTCTAAGGGAATCCAGATGGGGGCTAGAAAATTTATGCTTGAGGAATTGACTTGAGAAGGTTCAACTTATTGAGGTTCAACTGTAGTACAATTCCATTCCCTGGAATTTCATGTCCGCATTATTGGTACTGTAATTGAGAATTACAAAAGAAGGCAAGAAAAGGATTGATTCAAAAAATGGTACCTTAGAAAAGGGATTTTTTGCTTTGGTTACATGACCCTGATTTGTTTTATACTGGAAGGAATGAATGAGAATCCTCTTTAAAAAATCGAAGCTGTTCTGTATGATATGAGGCTGCCAGAAAAAAATTCCAAGTGTTTATAATACTGAATAATCAACTGTTTTCAGAAGGTTTCAATTTTTCAATAGAGCAAGCCACTTACAAATTTTCTGCAAGTGTTTGAATTTGCCCCTTGAATTTTGTCCAACAGTTTGGTCTTTTGATAAGCTAGCTGTCCTTTTTCTTACACAATCCAACAAGGTTCTACTACAGTACAAAAAAGTCCCAGCTGCAGCCTGGCTGATTGATTCGCATATTCATTTTCCTGAAATTTTAGCACCATAGATGCCTATACAAATTTTTCTCATTTAGCCAAATTCCTTTATGACTTGAATTTAGGCTTTCTTTCAATTTTTCGAGTCATTACTTTATTTTCTTACAAAGGAGAAGTACCCATCCAACCCATGCATGGGTTTATTTATTTTAATTTTGTTTTGCTCAAGCTTTGCATATTTTTGGATTTGGTTGGGTTTGGCACCTTCACTCATCAATTGACTGGATTCCAAAGACGAAAAAGTAATGCTTTTTGCAACAAGATTAAAAAAAATATCAATTAGGATTCCACCAATTTTCGGGTCAGTCAATGAATTTTGACTGTCAAATTAATCATGTCTATAATAATGGGTTATATGTCCGTGCCCAGCTGTCCCAACGCTCACTTAGCTACTGCTTTTTTGAGCTTGACCCTGTATTCCAACTTACCAAGCAAGAAGGAAAAAAAAAAGGTGGGATTGAAATGCGTACCTCGGGGGTAGTTGGGTGGCGGGTACTCCTTGGGCAGCTGGAATTCCTTGACAACCTCCACCGCCTTCAGTCTGGCGATGCCCGTGTTGTTCCAAGTCCAGGTAGGTGTCCCGTTCACGCGATGGTACACACAATCCAGGTGAGCGTTTGTGTCCGGGTACAGCCACAGGGACCCGTCTGGCCCCACGGCCCATGTACCCGTCGGGATATGATACTGGATCGTGGGAGGCGCAGGGCCTGCAACCAGTAGACAGCATTCAAACGAAGGTCAGAATTATTTATTTATTTCTTCGGCATCTTATTGTTGAAGACACCTTTNCATCACGGATACCAGGACCCACCATATAGCACCAAGTGCGATGGATACCAGGCAGTTGATTCCAGATTCCCAGCGTTAAAAATAGATGGTCGACGAGGGAACAATAACGAGAGCCAAGGATGCTACTCACGAGCGATGTTGACTTCGATGGAGTTGCTATAGCCCTCGGGCGTCGTGCAGATGAAAACGCCGGAGTCTTCTTCCTTGGGGTAGAAGAAAGATAGTCGATATTTCCAGTGTCGCTCTCGCGGCGACATGGCCCATCCTGTCGCACAAATTAAAAACAACGACTCCATCGTGAGCAAGGCTCGAGACACAGACAGCAGAGAGAGAGAGAGAGAGAGAAACCCAGGCTTTACTTCTTTGTCTTCTTTTCCAAACGGGATAAGTGGGGGAAATAATTCTTAAAAGGGAAAATAAAAGCCGCCGCCGGAGCTGGAGGAAAGAATAATAAGGTAGATAACTTTTCTTCTTTTTTTTCCCCTCCTGGCCCGGAAGCACAGTATATATATATATATATAGAAGTGAAGGAAACGAACAGCTTGAAGGGAGCTGTTAACGATATAGACTGGCGTCTTCCCGATTTTTATGTCGCTGGGCATGGAAGCCAACTGCCTCTTTACTTCCTTCCAGTCTCAGCAGGAAGTCAAGCTTCCTTATGCCTCAGGAAGTCGAATTTCAAGGGTTCAGCACAAAAAAAGAGAAAAAAAATGGAGTCTGGAAGGGTTGGAGTTAGGGAAACAAGCATTTCTGTTGTGGGAAGCATCAAACAATTGCACAAAATTGTAAATGGTGATAATCTGTGCCTTTATTTGCTTCTTAAATGATGGAGTATTGACAGGATGTTGCAATTTGAGGCAGGGTTTCATTTGCCCAATAAGTCTTTTACTTCTTTTCAAAACAATCAAGTCCACTTTTCTTTTTCCTGTGTCAAGAAAATAAATAGCCAAAATGCCTCAGAAAATTCGAGTTGAGGCAGTTTGAGAGGGAAAGCTTTTGGATTAAAGATATTTTTGATGCATTGTTTCTAAGGGAATCCAGATGGGAGCTAGACATTTTCTACTTGAGGAATTGACTTGAGAAGGATCAACTTATTGAGGTTCAACTGTAGTACAATTCCATTCCCTGGAATTTCATGTCCGCATTATTGGTATTGTAATTGAGAATTACAAAAGAAAGCAAGAAAAGGATTGATTCAAAAAATGGTACCTTAGAAAAGGGATTTTTTGCTTTGGTTACATGACCCTGATTTGTTTTATACTGGAAATGAATGAGAATCCTCTTTAAAAAATCGAAGCTGTTCTGCATGATATGAGGCTGCCAGAAAAAAATTCCAAGTGTTTATAATACTGAATAATCAACTGTTTTCAGAAGGTTTCAATTTTTCAATAGAGCAAGCCACTTGCAAATTTTCTGCAAGTGTTTGAATTTGCTCCTTGAATTTTGTCCAACAGTTTGGTCTTTTGATAAGCTAGCTGTCCTTTTTCTTACACAATCCAACAAGGTTCTACTACAAAAAAGTCCCAACTGCAGCCTGACTGATTGATTTGCATATTCATTTTTCTGAAATTTTAGCACTGTAGATGCCTATACAAATTTTTCTCATTTAGCCAAATTCCTTTATGACTAGAATTTAGGCTTTCTTTCAATTTTTCGAGTCATCACTTTATTTTCTTACAAAGGAGAAGTACCCATACAACCCATTCATGGGGTTATTTATTTTAAATTTTTTTTTTGCTCAAGCTTTGCATATTTTTGGATTTGGTTGGGTTTGGCACCTTCACTCAATTGACTGTATTCCAAAGAAGAGAAAGTAATGCTTGTAGCAACCAGCCTTTTTTAAAATAGGAATTAAAGGATTCTACCAATTCTCGGGTCAGTCAATGAATTTTGACTGTCAAATTAATCATGTCCATGATAATGGGTTACACGTCCGCGCCCAGCTGTCCCAACGCTCACTTAGCTACTGCTTTTTTGAGCTTGACCCTATATCCCAGCTTACCAAGCAAGAAAAAAAAAAGAAGGTGGGATTGAAATGCGTACCTCGGGGGTAGTTGGGCCCGCCCATGAGGAACCCGTCGACCTTAAGGAACTGTTGGAGGTGGCGGAAGTCAGACCGCTACGGGCACAACAAGGTTCAGGTCCATCCACAGGGCAAGTGCGCTACCATGTGTGTTAGGTCCACTCCGTTTGTGTCCGGGTACAGCCACAGGGACCCGTCTGGCCCCACGGCCCATGTACCCGTCGGGATATGATACTGGATCGTGGGAGGCGCAGGGCCTGCAACCAGTAGACAGCATTCAAACGAAGGTCAGAATTATTTATTTATTTCTTCGGCATCTTATTGTTGAAGACACCTTTATTCTGAGCATCATTGAGGAAATATGTTTATCCCAAATTAACCTGGGATTTACGCGTATGTATAAACATTAAAAAAAGAAACTGAACCTCCATCTACAATGGAGACTGCATCACAAATATTTTTTAAATTGTGTCTCAATGAGTTTTGTTATGCAGAATTTTCATCAGGTGAAACATGATTTACTTGTTGCAGAAATAAATCCATTCATGTACATTTAGAAACAAGGCTTTTAAAGTCTCTGTTTGCATCAAAAGCTTGTGTATCAGTGAGATAAAAATCTGGCATGCAGGTTTTCCAGATTCTTATCGCTGAAGAAAAGCTAGGCTTAGAAAAGGGAGAATATCTCAAGATCTGCCCATCTAGTTAATTTTTATGCGATTAAACAAAAGTTGAACAACATCATCAGCTTCAATTTAAGACGTTGTGGAATTTTGTGAGTGTGAAATTTGCAAAGTTATTTGCTTTGGAAGTTTATGTGTTGGGAATTGCACCATAGGCAAAGCATGTTTTCTTTGCTGATTTTATTTGTTTTTGAAAGCAAGTTTTTACTGCACAAAGTGAGATTGTATTTGCTGATTGTGTGTGTGATTGTTGTCTTTATGAAACCTGTGATCAGAGACAATAATGAAGTTCTCTTTTAACATCCAAGGAGTGAGGATGCTCCAGGTTCTCTTATTTTTGCAGTCATATTGTAGTTTTGCACTTCTATAATTAAATTCCCTTGGAGGCTGGGTAACTGCCTCAGCACTCAGATGTCTCTTGCACCTGGCATGTTTTTAATGCAGCTTAAAATCTGTAATATTTTCCTCAGGTGATGATTTGAGAAATACTTTTATCTGTTCTGGACACTGTCAAAATGACCACAATAAGCACAAAAAAGTTTATTTCAGGCAGTTATCACTCATAAAATGGTGATTTCTGCCAGCACGAAATTTAAGTAATATCCTGATAACGTTGATCTCTTGAGTTTTCCGAAATTCATAATTTTTCAGGAATAGAAAAGGCGGAACCTTTATACTCTTCTCATCTTTTTTCGCCTTGATGAAAACTTGTCAAGTCTCACTCAAAATTTTCTGCATTCGAGCGTTTCTTGGCCAAACATGTTTGTGACTTGAAAAATTTTAAAAATAGACTTCACTTCCTCCACCGCTATTTCGAAAGGCAATTTTTATACAGGTCTTTTGTAATGTTAATTGGGACGCACTGTAATTTTAATTATCATTTTCCAGGCGAATAAGTCATGACATTTGTCAAAAACTTTGACGACAGAGGCAGTTTTGGATTTGAAAAAATGGAAGTAATTGTAGATGTCAATCAGCTGTGACACTGGAGATGTAACACTCAGATGATACCAGAATAATGCACACTTTGCAATCTTTCTAAACCTTTCTGCGGTGCTGAAAACCGATCGAAAATTGGTTTTTGAATTTCACTTCAATGACTACGACATAATTTTCCTATCGAATTTTTTGGTTGCGGTATGAGAGAGTGAAAAAGCTAAAAAAAAAAATGTTTCATCCGGAACAGATAAATGGTATATTTCACAATTGCTGACGGATCATCATAAATGCATAACCAAAAATAAAGTGTGGATCAATTCCGGCCTGATTATTATTAAAATAACTTGTCAAGGACCTTCTCCGACAGGTTTTTTTATTGAGTTGTCGGAGTAGAATCAATGATTTCACCAGACTTTAAAAATCCGAGAAGATTTTCATCACCCGGATGTAAGATGATATGCGTCCATTGTTTATCATAATCATGGCGAATAAATGTAAAAAAAAAAATCTGCAAAAACCTTGTTGGGTTAGAGTCGATGATGCATTATCCATGTAAGCAAGGAAACCTGATATCGTCTTCCTTCATCGACCCTCCTTTTCCTGTCTGTAAAATGTCTTGATAAAATAAGAATGTTTTCTCCGACATCAACACAAGGCACACCTGCACTTGTAGTTTCTTATCTCGAGTGTCGCTGATTTTTTTTTTGCATATGACTTATCATGTGCAGTTACATGTAAAAAAACGCACCATGAAAAGGTCCTTCGGTCACAAGACTGCCCCAAATGTAACTTTTTTTTATTTTATTGCCCCAGCAGCACTGGCTCCCAGTTCTCCTTTACAAACTTCCTCAGTGCCTTACAGCTGTTATTATTATTTTGTTACTTTTTGGAAGAGATTTTTGCTAAGAAAAAACGCGGAAAGTTGAAGGAATGTCGGTTGTCCGAAAAGAATCCTTGATTGTTACGATAACCAGCTACAATTCTTGAAATAAATAACATGTCGTCTTCAGTTTCATGCATCTAGAACTCATTTAAATATTTGTGGTGGACATTATTGGAGTGATTCTGTCAGCAATTTCAGAAGCTAATTTCATCAGCGGACAATCTTGGGTAGGTTTTCCTGTGAGCTAAACCAGTTTATTTTAAGACGCAAAAAGCTACATGCTGGAAGCCCAGAAAGGGCTAGAAGATTCTTGAAGTATTTTTTAGGTGTTCAAACTTTGGTTTGCTTGGTGTTTTCCTTTTTATTTTACACAGGAAAGGAAAGGGAAAGAGTCTTGTTTCTGGCGCAAGGTTTGCTCACCCCTGGAGGCAGACGGGACCTGATTTTGTGTCTGGTTTTTTTTGTGCTCAAGCTTTGCATATTTTTGGATTTGGTTGGGTTTGGCACCTTCACTCAATTGACTGTATTCCAAAGAAGAGAAAGTTTTTTTTTGCGTGGTACTTTTCCAGGAAGCCAGTGTTCTGACGGGGTTTACATTGAAAAAAAAATAAAATAACGGGGTCGTCGTGACCGAGGGTCAAGAGGAAATGTTTGAAGGAGTCACGGAATGTCGCGTTATTATTATTTGGTTACTTTTTGGAAGAGATTTTTGCTAAGAAAAAACGCGGAAAGTTGAAGGAATGTCCGCTGTCCGAAAAGAATCATTGATTGTTACGATAACCAGCTACAATTCTTTAAATAAATAACATGTCGTCTTCAGTTTCATGCATCTAGAACTCATTTAAATATCTGGGGTGGACATCATTGGAGTGATTCTCTCAGCAATTTCAGAAGCGAATTTCATCAGCGGACAATCTTGGGTAGTTTTTCCTGTGAGCTAAACCAGTTTATTTTAAGACGCAAAAAGCTACATGCTGGAAGCCCAGAAAGGGCTAGAAGATTCTCGAAGTATTTTTTAGGTGTTCAAACTTTGGTTTGCTTCGTGTTTTCCTTTTTATTTTTTACAGGAAAGGAAAGGGAAAGAGCCTTGTTTCTGGCGCGAGGTTTGCTCACCCCTGGAGGCAGACGGGACCTGATTTTGTGTCTGGTTTTTTTTTTTTTTTTTTTTTTTTTTTTTTA